ATCTATCATAATTTAGTGAAATCACACATCGGGTGTGGACGTACACATAGTGGGTGAAACAAAAAAATTGGTCAAATATTAGGTACATGATTATAATAGCATATTATATCGATTGGTCAGCCGATAATGATGATTACCCGGGATACCAGGGTAGTGAACAAACCTGAACGCAAAAGTGCTGTGATATAGACCGTTCCATACCCCAATACCCATGTACCCTTTTTACTCGCAACTCTGGAACTTTGGCAATTATCTCATACAGTATACACACATCATTTTAGRATGAACTCGTATTGCGTATAAAAACATGTAGTCTCGGGACGCGACTGCGGTCGATTAACTGTTATCGTATATARTGTTAAAATTACATGTAATTTATAGTCCCAGATCAAAATCAACTATATTTTATCGTCTCTGATCGCTTTCGGTCGATTGAAATCCCTCTCCCATAACCACGTGCTGCCACGTGGTGATGTACGTTGAATAATATACATAATATAGTAGCTGCTAGATGATTTTGAATTTAATTATTATTCACGTTATATATTCTTCGTTCTACATCGATGTACGCTATATCTTGTCACGCTATGCAAACACAAGCTGTCGATTAAGATGTAATATGCTGCATTAATAATAACTAAGTTGATTATTACAGATTTGAAATTATAATTTATAGTTTAATAATCACGAAAAAAAAACTATASAGTATAAATGTATAATTCATAATACTTCATATTGTAACTTACAATATATACCTATACCAATTGTATGAAATAAATAGAAATAAAAAGTAAAAAATAAATGAAATTCTTCAATATTTCTTCAGTATAAATATATGTAATAAACCTTTAACTGTTAACTATTCTTATCTGTTGCATTGACTTTAATAATAACAATATTTTCAAGTAGCATTCAATCATCAAATATGATAAAAAAGTATGTCTTTTCCTGGTAATAATATGCATCATTTATTAGAGAGCATAAAATTTTCAGAGAACGAAAAACAAACGATGTGTACAAATATAGGAAGGAATGTTTTATTAGCACAGACCGAACATTTTTCTACTAGTAACACTAAGAAGAAAGGTGTGCGAGCATTTTCAATGAATTACTCTGTATGTTCYTGTTATAAGTAAATTATATTTTTTTAAATAATTAACTATTATATCGACCAGTTTCAGTTTTATAACATTTGAAATTCGAATAAGGCGAGGCTTAGAGCTTTTAAAATCTAAATAAATAAAACACAAATAATATACATGATGCAGTAAAAGTTTAATATTGATAAAATAATACATAATATAATGGTTAAAAAGATGCAACGATTACATATAATATATAATGTTACAAACATTGAATCTTAACTATATAATAATAATAATTATAGTTATAATAATGAARGTACAACAGTTTATTTATATAATATCATATAGAATATTGCATAAGGATAACTTAAAGAATTTTTATATCTTTTTTTTTACATAGACGAACCAATTTTCAAGAAACGGCCAACTATTGAAAACCTATTATACAATATATTAGTATTACTAGTCTGTGTAACTCATCATGAAAAATATTTAATATGATAAAATTTATATATGATATTAAAGGGCCCCGTTACCGAAATACGAAGGGGGGCCCACCTCGAAATGCCCGGTTTCCCGGTAGGCCTATCCACCTATGGGTAACTGACTAACGTACAATTATCGTCCGCCTTCTGGGTAGGAATGATGCACGGGGCAGGATTGAAGTCGTGCTTATCCTTATTGATGCACACATAACACTGATCGCTGCAGACGCAATCTGACTTTTTACTGCAATTCTTTATACACGAATCTTGGGTGTAGTACAGAGTGTTATTGTTTTTGTCCATTTGACACACGAGGCACTGGAAATTCAATGAGTTATTTGTAGGGATGCACAATCCTCCCATATCTTTTTTGCAGTCCGATTGCACGCAATATTCACAAGTTGCGAAATTACTCGAATACACGGAGTACCCCGAATACTTGTCGGAGTCGGAGTCGGAGYCGGAGCCGGAGTCGGAGTCGGAGTACACGTAGATGAAGTTCAAAAGTATGGGGAAAACGAACACGGACACGACGGTGTACGACAGAAACATTTTGGCTTTGCTGTTGTTGTTGTTTTTTCKGAGGAAATCGAGTCTGGTACCTAATATGCGGTACTGCGATGTATGTTATTTCTGTCCCTCACTGACGACGAAGTTGATCCGATCAATGTTTGCGCGTTAATAGTTAATGGAMTGRCWCTACAGTTACAATCGGTCTACGTTTCGTTTTTATAGCCGAACGGCTGTCGGATTCGCGATCGTGCTGTCGTTTAATTGGTCAGGTCTCGTCGTGGTAGAGATGTGCGATGGGCCGTCGAATCAACACGACTACCTTACTTTGTTTGACTTCCGTCGTACAGTGTGTCACAAAAGTCCCGTTACGCTGTAATAATCTCTGTGTCAAATCCTCCACGTGATAACTATACGTCCTGTGGATGCGACATTGTTCAACAGCATTTTATTATAGAAATGAGCGACATAAAGTTTCAATTTCTTAATGGTTGTAGTGGTGCAAAAACCATCACTCTAAATAAATTGATGTGCCCAGTGGCGTATTTATGGGGGTGGCTGAGGGGGCCCCCCTGTTTCATTCAGCCCCTCCAAATCCAGGAATTGTTTATGAAGTCTGCGTATGATGTCCTATCAGATGTAAATTTTCTAACTCATATAGGCTGATTTGGGAATTTCAGTTGGAGAAAATACCACAGCATTCAGCCAAATGGCATGTATACCAAAACAGAAATTTAATTTAATAATTCATTATGCCATATAACAATATGTAAAATGTAAACAAAACAATATAGGTACAATGGTACAAATAATACAACATA